GCCCCCAGGAGGCCCCAAGAGGCCCCGTAGTGGCTCCAAGAGGCTCCGAAGAGGCCCCAAAGATGCTTAAGAGAGGCCCGACAAGCTCCACAACGCTCCCGTGGAGGCTTCAAACCTGCTTCCAAAAGGCCCCCCGAGATGCATCCCACGACATCACCCCAGCGAACATCCGAGAAGCCTCTAACCCACAACCCAGACACCGTTGCGGGATGGGCCCAGAACTGCGATCTCTGGTTCGCATGGGGGGCTGGGGGGCCTTGAGGGCTCCAAGAGGGTTCAGAAGGGGCCCCGGACCCCTCCAGAGGCTCCGAATCTGGCCCAAGATATTCCCAGGAGGCTCCAGAGAGCCCTCCGAATGCCCGAACAGAGGCGCCCTCTGCCCCAAGAGGCCCCCAGGAGGCCCCAAGAGACTCCCAGGAGGCCTCCACGACGCCCCCAAAAAGCCACCAAGAATGCTCCAGAAAGCCCCGAGAAGCGCCCGAGAAACCCCCACCGAGCTCGCAGGAGGCCTCTACACAGACCCTCAGACGCCCGCCAGAAGCCCTTCGTCCTCCATGCTCCCGAACAGCCCTTCGGAACACGTGGCCCTGGCTGCACCCCCCGACCCGCCCACCCAATGTCGAGGCCCGAGGACGCCCCCGTGACGCCCGCGAGACGCTCCAGAAACGCCTCTCCCGCACACGTGGATCAGGTGACAATCATGCTGATCGTCGGTGGTCCGTCGTCGTCGTCGTCGTCGTCGTCGTCGTCGTCGGTCGTCGCTGGTACGCTACAGGCCAAACCTTTCCTTGGAACTTCGCACTATCCGCCCGAAAATCACGCATGGGTGAAAGGGAGGAACCCAGAAGACCACTGGAACCCAGAAGACCACATGGAAAAGGTCCCATGGAAATTGACACCGTCTTCGGAGTCGACTAGAACCTAAGCGCGCGCGAAGCGCGCACGAGGTTCTAGTATAAGTATGTGGAATTCCTCGGTAGCGTAATTGTGGTTGTTCGTTTTCGGTTTCTGGCAGCACTCGCTGGGTCCTGGGACCGTCAACGCAACGACGCATGATGACAAGCCGGTCCCTGCGATACCCGTCGGTCGTTTAAAGTAGGTGCTTCTGGATCCCCAGATCCCAATATCAGCTTGAGCCGCCTACGAGTCGAACGGTTTCCCCCCTTACCTCATCCTCAGTCGGCGGCACCCCAACATACTGATGCTATGTGCGCGTCGCCCCCCCAGGGGCGACGCGCGCACCGAGAAATCTTGTAGTATGCGCGTCGTGGCGGGCGCTTTCTGGCCGTACCGCTCGGGAAACGACACGCGACAAAATCTTTATACCATGAATGTTCGGGCCGGACGCGCGCCTCCAAGGAGGGCGTCTAATATCAGTATGTCTCTGCGCGCCCTCTCCAAGGGGACTGGCGGAGACCCAATCTACTTCCAACGCCTTCCTGCACCATGTTGGCTGCCTGCTTCCCAGACGTGCGATGTCTTGATTCTTCCGATGCGTGGCCCCTGGAAGTCCCGACCCCTTCCCCCGGGGCCGGCTTCTCGCCCCGAGTCGTTTTTTTTGTTGACGCCTTGGCAAGAACCTCTCGTCCTCATGTTTTGACGACGCGACCATGTCTGGGTTCTTCCGACCGGCGGGTGCAGGGTCCAGCCCTCCGGGGGCCCGCGTAAGGCGAAGAGACCACCACGGCGCGGCGGAGGCATGCGAGCGAAGCGCAGTGCTCCTCCTCCTTTTCTTCCTCTTCCTCCTCCTCCTCCTCCCTCCTCCTCTTCCTCCTCCTCCTCCTCCTCCTCCTCCTCCTCCTCCTCCTCCTCCATCATCTCCTCCTCCTCCTCCTCCTCCTCCTCCTCCTCCTCCTCCTCCTCCTCTTCTCCTCCTCCTCCTCCTCCTCCTCCTCCTCCTCCTGATGGGCCTCCCTTCTCCTCCTGCCTCCTCCTCCTCCTCCTCTCCTCCTCCTCCTCCTCCTCTCCTCCCTCCTCCTCCTCCTCTCCTCTCCTCCTCCTCCTCCTCCTCCTCCTCCTCCATCATCTCCTCTCCTCCTCCTCCCCTCCTCCTCCTCCTCCTCCTCCTCCTCCTCCCTCCCTTCTCCTCCTCCTCCTCCTCCTCCTCCTCCTGATGGGCCTCCCTTCTCCTCCTCCCTTCTCCTCTTCCTCCTCCTCCTCCTCCCTCCTCCTCCTCCTCCTCCTCCTCCTCCTCCTCCTCCTCCTCCTCCTCCTCCTCCTCCTGGGCCTCGCCTTCGGCGGAACCGCCACGCCCTCGGCGGCAGGCCCGCCGGAGGCAGCGCAGCGGCGGGCCCGCCCGAGGAAGCCGGCGAGCGGCCGGCGGCGGCCGGCAGAGCCTTGAGATCCTGGCGTTGCCATTCTTTCCCGCCCAGACCCCCTCGCGTCGTGAAAAGATCGCGACGGGAGGTTTTTTACTATTTTCGGCCTTCGGGGGCCCTCGCCGGGCCTCGGGACCGTCAAAAAACGACTCAGGATGAAGAACCGGTCCTGGGGAAGGCGTCCACACCTTTGGGGGTCGACGTTGCGACAAAATTATCCTGGCGAAGGACCCAAACATATGCAATTGTGAATACTGCAATTGTGAATATCTTCTCGGTGGAGCCCCCTACGGGGCCACGAAACGTACGAGGGGTGTGCCGAAATGGGTGTGCGGGACGCATGCGGGCACACCCACTGGGGCCTTCGGTGGAGCTCTCTATGGGGCCAAGAAGCGTGTGAGGGGTGTGCCGAAATGGGTGTGCGGGACGCATGCGGGCACACCCACTGGGACCTTCGGCGGAGCTCCCTATGGGGCCACGGAACGCGTAAGGGGCGTGCCGAAATGGGTGTGGCTGACGCATGCGGGCGCGGGCACTGGGGCCTTCGGCGAAGCTCCCTATGGGGCCACGAAACGTGTGAGGGGTGTGCCGAAATGGGTGTGGGTGACGCATGCGGGCGCGGGCACTGGGGCCTTCGGTGGAGCTCCCTATGGAGCCACGAAACGTGTGAGGGGTGTGCCGAAATGGGTGTGGGTGACGCATGCGGGCGCGGGCACTGGGGCCTTCGGTGGAGCTCCCTATGGAGCCACGAAACGTGTGAGGGGTGTGCCGAAATGGGTGTGGGTGACGCATGCGGGCGCGGGCACTGGGGCCTTCGGTGGAGCTCCCTATGGAGCCACGAACGTGTGAGGGGTGTGCCGAAATGGGTGTGGGTGACGCATGCGGGCGCGGGCACTGGGGCCTTCGGTGGAGCTCCCTATGGAGCCACGAAACGTGTGAGGGGTGTGCCGAAATGGGTGTGGGTGACGCATGCGGGCGCGGGCACTGGGGCCTTCGGTGGAGCTCCCTATGGAGCCACGAAACGTGTGAGGGGTGTGCCGAAATGGGTGTGGGTGACGCATGCGGCGCGGGCACTGGGGCCTTCGGTGGAGCTCCCTATGGAGCCACGAAACGTGTGAGGGGTGTGCCGAAATGGGTGTGGGTGACGCATGCGGGCGCGGGCACTGGGGCCTTCGGTGGAGCTCCCTATGGAGCCACGAAACGTGTGAGGGGTGTGCCGAAATGGGTGTGGGTGACGCATGCGGGCGCGGGCACTGGGGCCTTCGGTGGAGCTCCCTATGGAGCCACGAAACGTGTGAGGGGTGTGCCGAAACTGGGGTGTGAAAGGGGTGTGCCGAAATGGGTGTGGGTGACGCATGCGGGCGCGGGCACTGGGGCCTTCGGTGGAGCTCCCTATGGAGCCACGAAACGTGTGAGGGGTGTGCCGAAATGGGTGTGGGTGACGCATGCGGCGCGGGCACTGGGGCCTTCGGTGGAGCTCCCTATGGAGCCACGAAACGTGTGAGGGGTGTGCCGAAATGGGTGGGTGACGCATGCGGGCGCGGGCACTGGGGCCTTCGGTGGAGCTCCCTATGGAGCCACGAAACGTGTGAGGGGTGTGCCGAATTGGGTGTGGGTGACGCATGCGGGCGCGGGCACTGGGGCCTTCGGTGGAGCTCCCTATGGGGCTACGAAGCGCTGTACTGGGTGGGTGAAACGCAGGGAAGAGGGGGAGGAGGGAGGGAGGGGGCAGCGGGAGGAGGAGAAGGAGGGAACGCGGGGCACCGTCTCTTCAAAACGAGGACCCAACACCACAGGATGGTTGGGAATAACGACGTCGGGGTTCTGGGCAACTGGCGCTTTCGCTGAGTTTCGGGCCCCAGGGCCCTCACAGATCGATCCGGCTCGAGAAATGACGCAGGAAGGTGGGGTCCGGGGCTCCGGGCCTGATTTTTGCGATGTTGCGTTTTGTCCGCTATACGTCGGATCCCAGGGAGCTGTGAGACGCCACCTGTCTGTTGGGTTCGGGGCTCCTGGGCCCCACACCTCCTTCCTCCTCCTCTTCCTCCTCCTGGGCTCCTCTTCCTCCTCCTCCCTTCTCCTCTTCCTCCTCCTCCTCCTCCTCCTCCTCCTCCTCCTGGGCCTCGCCTTCGGCGGAACCGCCACGCCCTCGACGGAAGGCCGGCAGGAAGCAGGCAGGCCCGCCGTACGGCGGCGGGCCCGCCCGAGGGAGCCGGCGAGCGGCCGGCGGAGGGCGGAGCGAGACGCCATCCCGTGACACGATCGCGTCGTAGAAGGGACGTCGGGGCGGGAGGCTGTTGGCTGTCTTCGGCCCTGGGGGGCCCTCGGCGGGCCTCGGGGCCGTCAGAGACCGGCGCAGGAGGAGAGAACTTGGCGGCGCGCAGAGGGGGGTAGGGGGAGGGGGGAAGGCTTCTTAGAAGGAGGCTGCTTCTTAGAAGGCGCCGGCCTTACGTTTGTAGACAAGGCCCGCGCCTTCTAAGAAGCAGGGGTGCTTCTAAGAAGCCTTCCCCCCTCCCCACACCCTAAGAAGCCTTCCCCCTCCCCACACCCCCCTGTGCGCGCCGCCAAAGAACGGTCCTGGGGAGAGGGTCGGGGTTTCCAGGGGCCCCGTCTTGAACAAGTCGAGGCGTCGCATGTCTGGGATGTTTCAAGGGGGTCTTGGGGGCTCCCAGTCTCGCCCAGGTGGTGGACGCCCTGGCGAAGGTGGACGCCCTGAGCAGGGAGCGGTGCCACACCAGCAGCACGGTGCCGCCGAGCGAGGTCGACAGCAGCCTCGTGGACAACGCGCTCGAGCAGCTGGAGGAGGGCACGGGCGCTGGCGGGTCGGGGTGCTCGGGTTGACCCAAGAGAAAGAGAGGTCCAGCGACAAGGGGGTGGTGCAATAGATGTGTGGGGTTGCAATACATCTGGGGCGTACAATATATTCTGGGGCGCACATGTGCTGCTGGATTTTCGCGTGCAATGCATTACTTGCAATACAACGCAATACAATTCTCCAGCGCAATACATTTGCAACACAATTGCCCCGAATCTATTGCACCACCCCCTCTCAGCTGGACCCCTTTTTGGGTCGACCAAAGGAGCGCGAGCAATGAGGGCAAGGCCGGGTCCCGGACGGCGATCACGCCTGCCCGCCTGGACGTGGGGGATGCGTACGCTCTCAACATGTCGATCTGGGACAGCATGCTGTTCTGCGGGCACCCCGGGCTGGGCGGGAGCGTGTCCGTTGTGACTCTCCTCGCCTACGTCTTCAACGTCGGCTCCCAATTCGCTTTCTGCTACATGATCTGGAACTACATGCTCGAGCCGGACGTGAACTCGTCCGCGCTCGAGACCCTGCTCAAGTTTCGCCTGAGCATCGCACACAACGTAGAGTTCGCGGACCCCATGACGAAGCAGTCCTTGGCGCAGCAGGTGTGCAACACCAACGAGAAGGTGCACTACGCCGCTGGGCAGATGGACATACTGAAGGACGTGAAGCGGTTCCTGAACGGCGGGCCTCAGCTGATGATACTCGCAGAGATCATCTTTCTCTGCGTCATCGTCAAGGAGCTGGACGCCATCGCGCAATTCACCAAAGCCGTCATGTCGCTTAGAACGTCGCACAAAACTAGGGTGGTGTTGGCCGACTCGTCCGAACATGAAGTTCACGACCCAGCGGAACGGTGCAAAGCGGAGGACTTGTACCTGGTATCCGTGGTCACCCGTATCGAAAAGATCCGGCCGCTGCGTGTTTATTTCGCCTGGGCACTCATCATCGTGCCCCGCGTGATAATATGCTTGGTCCTTGGCATCACAGGCGTCCGCTTCATTGGCAAGACCAACAATGTCGATGACCTCATCCTCAACTGCCTAGCGATAGCCTTCGTCATCGACCTCGACGAGCTGATCTATGAGTGCTTAGCGCCCAGGCGGCTCAAGACTCTGATGAATAATGTTGAGCCTATACCGTGCCACGCGCCAGAGTACCTGGTGACCCGGCGCCACGCGCCCGTAATGTCGCCGGTCTTGAAGGTGTTTTTCCTGATCGCGTCAGTCGTCACCGCCTACTACCTGGTCCTCGGCCGCTTCTTCTGGCAGCTGTCGGAGGTCGATCACATCTTGTGCTCCCAGGACAGTCATTTAGATCCCTCTCGCTTCGCGGGGTGCACGTCCAGAGCGCTGTAAAGTCTGGGCGTCGGCTGTTTTGCCGTGCTCGTCTGCCGTGGCGTTCTGCCGTCGTTCGGAGGCTCTGGGGGGGCCTTTGGGGGGTGCCTCCGCGGGGCTTCTCTCGGGGCCTCTCGGGGGCCTTTTGGGGGGTCATCTTGGAGGCCTTTTTGTGGAGGCTTCTTGGAGGCGGCGGAAACGTCAAACGGCATTCTGGAGCGCAAGCATGGATTCAGGCGCATGGATTTGCGACGGGTCCCGTTTCGCTGAAGCGGGATCAACGCGTAAACGTGGATTGAGGTGCGCTCCGTCGCCAAATCAGGCTGCATTGGCTTCATGTCTCGGGGGGTGCCTCCCTGGATCCGTGGGTCTGGCGCCCGCCCATGTCAGCGTGCCCCCGATGGGGGGTCGGGGGCGGGGGCATGGGAATGGAACCCCGACTGCCCATTCGACAATGGCGCCCCGATGCAGAGTCGGCGATCCAGGGTCCCAGCGGGTGCGGCGGAGTGGAGCTGCAATGGCCGAGTCGACTACGAGGGCCCACTGTTAACGTGCAAGCGGGGGTCTGGGCGGGGGCAGGGATATGGAGCTCCGATTACCCCATTGGCCCCAACAGCTCGTCAGATGGACAATCGAGGTTCCTCGGTGTCGCTGGTTGCCTAGCTGACCACGTGGGTAGGAGAAACAAACCTCAACCTGAATTACTTGTTTCCACAGTTGTGAGCATCTCGCTGCGCTCTGGTAGTCGGTTGTGGCCTTGGAAGGTGATTCAGCGCCGCAGTACTGAATTGGCACGGGGGGCAGCGGTCAGGAGACGCCGGGTGGGGGTGGCGGGGGGGCGGCGGAAGCGGGCAGGGGGGGAAGGGCAGGAAGGACGGGGGAGTCGGCGGGAGGGGGGCGGATGAGGCGGCGGCACCAAACGCAAAAGAGCCCCAAGATGTGTTCCGCAGTGCGCTGCAAAAGGGCAGATAGTTCGTTGAATCTGTGGATCGTCACGAGGATGGCGCTCGTCTGTGAGCCCGCCCTGGCGACCTGGCCCGCTTGTCGAAACGTTTGGCAGAACTCGTTGCGGCTCTGTCGTTGTCGCTTCTGGCAGAATATTTGGCGGCGCTGTTAGTGTGCTCCCTGGCGGGCAGGAGGAGCGACAGTGATCGCGACAGTGGGAGCGGTTGTGGTTGTGAGAACGAGAGCAAGAGCGAGGGCAATAACGAAATGGTAAGAGTACGAATGCGACCTGTACCATAACAACGTTGCAAGAACCCATCTACGGTGGATGACAAGCCACTTGAGCGAAGCTGAGCTGTTTTCGTCCCCTATGAACCTGCATGCATGCAGGTTTCGGAGTGCTCTTCGAACCTGCATGCAAAGAGGTTCGGATTGCTTTCTTTTCACCGCGTCCATCCTCACGACATTGATAATGATGGTTGTGATGATTATTAGTACGATGGGGATGACGATAACGATGACGATGACGACGATCATGATGATGCTGATGATGAACTTGATGATGATGCTGATGATGATTCCAATGATGATGATGATGCTGATGATGCTGATGATGTCGGCGATGACGGCGATGATATTGATGATATAGATGATGACGGTGATGATGGTGATGATGGTAATGATGATGATGATGGTGGTGATGATGATGACAGTGATAATGATGATGCTGATGATGATGTTGATGCTGGTGGTGGTGATGATAATGGTGGTGATGACGGTGACGATGAGGTCGAAGGTGATGAGGGTGATGATGATGGTGATGGTGATGATGGTGATGATGATGATGATGATGATGGTGACCATGATGATGATGGTGATGATGCTGATGATGATGAGGATGATGATGACGGTGATGGTGATGTTGATGCTGATGATGATGATGATGACGATGATGATGATGCTGATGATGGTGATGATGCTGATGATGATGCTGATGCTGATGATGCTGATGATGATGGTGATGATGGTGGTGGTGGTGCTGGTGGTGGTGGTGATGGTGATGGTGGTGGTGATGGTAATGTTCAGTGATGCACGCGACGAAGTTTGCATGCAACGGCCTATGGGCGCAGAGGGGACGACTCCTGACGACGACGGCGACGATCACGACGACAACGATCACGACGACGACGACCACGACAACGACGACGACTGAGACGACTGAGACAACTGAGACGACTGAGACGACTAAGTCCGACTCAGACATCGATGACGACGATCACGAAGATGACGACCACGAAGACGACGACGACGACGACGACGACGACGACTCCGCCTCCGACTCCGACAACTCCGACACCGACGACGACGATGACGACGACTCCGGCTCCGACTCCGGCTCCGACTCCGACTCCGACTCCGACCCCGACGACTCCGACTCCGACGACTCCGTCGACTCCGAGCGACTCCGACGCCTCCGACGACTCCGACACCGACGACGACGTCGGCGACGATGACTCCGACTCTGACTCCAGCTCCAGCTCCAGCTCCGACTCCGACTCCGATTCCGATGACGACGATGATTTCGAGACCCCGACGATTCCGACTCCGACTTCGATTCCGATGACTCCGACGCTTCCGACGACGGCTACGACGACGGCGACTATGACGACGACGGCGACGATGACGACGACGATGACGACGACGACGATGACTCTGGCTCCAGCTCCAGCTCCGACTCCGACGACAAGTCTCATGACTCCGACTACGACTCCGACTACGACTACGACTGCGAATTCGACGCGATGACGACGCGACAACGACGACGACGACCACGACGACGACGACCACGACGACGACTCTTACGACGAGGACGACGACGACGCTGACGACGACGACGACGACGGCTCCAGGTCCGACTCCGACTCCACTCCGACTCCGACTCACGATCGATATCACTGTCCATCTCACGATCGATCTCATAATCGATCTCCCTATCGACTCCCCCCGGCCAGCGCCCGCTACGTGGGGCGGGAGGGGCGGACTTTCGTCTTCGCCGCGCCCTAGCCAGGGGAGGGTTCACTCTTCTCGCTCGCCCACGCAGCTTCGCCTCGCCCGCACGCACAACACGAGCACGAAACCGACACCGATTTCCTGGTGAGGGGCTTTCCGTTCCATTTCGAGATCACCCTCCAACCTCCGAGTTTTTTCCATCACCGTCCATCATCATCAACAGCACCATCTACACCAATCAACATCATCACTCCACCACCACATTCCACCGCGTCGAAACGCCTTCCGCTCACTGGCCATCATCGTGATCCAGGCATGCCACGGCTCGCTCGCGGAGCTGGAGCACATGCTCTCCCGCAACCCGTGCTCCTCATACGTCGCCGACTGGTCGGGCTGCCTCGCGAGATTCGCGGGCGGCGTCGCAGTGCTTGTGCCCGGGCTCACACTGGCCCAACACGAGCTACTTCAGCAAGGTCGCGCTGCTGCTCGCCCTCCTTCCTCTCGGCAGCCCGCCATCAGCAGCGACATCGTGGTCCCTGGTAGGGTCATGCTCACCCACAGCACGAACCCGGACTCGGAGACGGAGACCCGCATCCCGCAACGTCCACAACTACAAGCTCTCATAGCCCCAGTAGGAAGCAGTGCAGAGGGAGCGACAATCCCATGCTTAGTGGGCCCTGGCGAACCCACACCAGCGCACGTTCGTGGCCATGGGCGGCTTCAACTTCACCGACAACCCTTCGCAGTCGAACCTCTTCCCGCAACCTGGAGTACGCAGGCAGACGCAGGAGGGCCGCTTCCAGCAAAACC